AACCTGACATGTGGTGCGGAGCAATTCAAAAGGAGAAAACAACAACCTTTGATGAGCTTGGGAAGCGATTTTGAAAGGTACCCGATGCACGGTGCCTGGGTACAGAATCCCTGTTCGTGGCTCCCAGAAATCTCCACCCAGCCTCTTCTGCCTCCATGTCCCTTTCCTTGTTGGACGTGTTTTGTGTTTTGCTCAATGTCTGCTGTGCCTTGATTACCTCTTGCTTGTGAACCTACTGTCAATATTCAGGGGCCCTGCTTCAGTGGCTCTTCAAGGCTCTCCAACACATCGATCAAAACAAGCTTACTGTTCCAACCTCTGTTACTTGGAAGCATGTTTTTACTGTGGTCCCAGGCCGTCCGGACTTTGAAACATTGCGAGGTTCCTGCCAGCAGAATCTGCTTCTGCTTTGCCTCTTGCACATCTGTGCCAACAGAAGCCTTTACTTGATGCACTGGCAGTGCTGACTATTGGCTATTGCCTCGCCTAGCCTCGCCCAGAATAAGATCAACAAGAAACTATTAGTCCCAAACTCCCTGCCGCTCGATTCGGTGTTTTTGTTGGCTGTCCTTCTCCACGCTGCACTCTCCCCGGTGGCTGCGGTTCTTCGAGGTTCCCCGCACTATCCTAAAAGATGTGTTCTCATCATGGTGTCCACAAGAACCCTTTGCGTGAGCTGAGCGTGATGGCTGTGCTTGCGGCGCTTAGGCGCTTGTTGTGCTGCAAAGGGCACTTTCAAGGTCGCTTTGCGTTCCGTCCTGATCGTTGCGTCCTGATCTATTAATTTGTTCCTTTTCTGCTCTTGCATGTTGTTTTGGCTGCTGGTACCATCGTTGCAGGATTGGTAACAATGTGCCGTCGTGTTGCATCTAGCATCATATACATTTACGCCTCTCCTGATGTGGGCCGGTTCCGTTTTTGCATATCTACCGCAAGTTGTCTGAACCTACCTCGTGGCCATCCGTGGTCTCTGAGCAAAGCTGCCATTCAAATTGGGTTCAATGTGTTCGCATCTGCGCGAGCAAAGCTGGACTCCCTTGAGAGGACACTTCTCATTGTTGTCTGGATCACAAGCAATTGTGATTGAACTGGAAACAGCCCTGCACAAATCATGTGGCTGTGTTTGAGGGTGTTCCTTGTATATGAAAATCGGCAGGTTTCCTTACAGGCTGGCAACGAGCTTTCTAGGACGGATCCTTCCATGTGCAAGTCTGTATTTTGAAAAGCGAACTGAGGAGATGCGCCTGCTGCAGTGGTATTGATGCACTTGCCATATGTCACCTTTATTCCGAAATGCGTTAAATGTCGGTCAATTGCACTGAGAAGCACGGCAGTTTGTGTTGGGGCCAAATGTGAACGTGCCGTCTGAGCACAAGCACTCAGCCAAAAAGACGCTTCGTTCTGCAGACGTCTCGTTTCAAAATTAACCGCCCTGTGAGCGACACAAGTATATGGATAACGTCTCCTTTCAAAAACGAACTGCGACGTGAGCGAGACAAGTAAATGGATAAAAGACATGCCTGTCAGATACCTGCCATCAACGCTCCCCATGCATCATCATTCGCACTCGACTTCAATTTCACCACAAATCTCGAGAGCTGATTGAGGTGCACAATTTCAGATTGCTGGCTACGTGACATTTTATCACTGCTGAAGTGCTTGTGACATCACGTGTGCTCAGCTCGTGTAATCTCTTCAATGTAGTTGCTCGAGCCCACCTTCATGGGAGTAGCTGAGAGCGTGCTGGACAGCCTAGGGACTTTATCTAACGCTTTGCATCTGATATTCTGCTATCAAAGTGGCTTGACCGGCTGACTTGCCTTTGCGGAATCTGTCTTACATTCTGCTCAATATCTGTGCCTCTCACTAAATTGCAATGGGAATTTCACATTGGCCTTGAACGCCTCGCCTGGAAATCGGAGCAACACTTGCATGCAGCCTTCTAAGATGATTTCCTGGTTTTGAGTCATTGAACCATCTCAACATGGAGGAAGAAATCGGCAAACAGGGGTACCCGCTCCTTTTAACCACGTCCCTCTCCCCGCATCTCATGGGCTCCGCAACCGTCATAGCCTTCGCCGCGGAAGTTCAAGTGGAGGCACCAATTAGTGCTGCCAACCCTTGAAGGAAATGTATGGTCACTCCCTTACAGGGACCTTCAGAACAATCCAGTGCGTGGAGAAAGAGAGAATCAGCGCAGAAAAAACAGGAAGAGACAGAGGTGAAGGCAGGGGCCTGGCATTATTTTGGTAACTTTTTGTTGCTATTTCGGGCATTATTTTTGGTTCTGGTGAGGAGGTCAGCAAGCATTGTACGTGCCAAGTAGTTTGACAGTCTATTGTCATGTTGCAAAGCGCTTTAGGGGCTACGAGCGTCAGTAACCATAGCATTAGGGGGTATGCGGACTCGAAGCCTGTGGCAAAAGTCATTTGGTACCGTCACATAAGGTTTTGTTGGAGGGGGGAAGTAATTGTAAATACCACATGTGAGAGGATTCGCAATGTAAAGCTGTCCTGGAATTCATCTTTGGTCATCGTTCTAGGGGTTGCTTGCAGGCTGCCCGTCCATGGGAATTCTTAGGACTGTGCTCGAGTTCATATTACAAAATGGTGGGGGAAATTGGGGGGCGAGCAGCCCCTTCACCTACATGCCAAACATGACATCAGGGGGTGATAATCTGATCGCGGAGATCGGCCCGAAAGGACCTCACCCAGCAGCGCAAGCTGATATCATCGCAAGCTCCTAAACAACCAGGGCTTTTGTGGGGTTTCAAAACCCTGGGAGTCCACGTAAACCCAATATGAATTCTATACAGAGACAGCGGAATCCTATGCATCCAGGACCGAGATGGCCGCGACCAAAAGGGTCCCAGTAACAGGTGCACGTAATTCATTCAGTACATGATGCCGAACAAACGGCACCAGAACCAAAGCTCGTCTCCTCGCGCCACCCCACGGTGCGCCTCTCACACCACAGAACGATGGACACAAAGTCCGTCTCCCGATGCAGTAATGAGCGTAAGCCTGAAAAGCATCAAAACCCAGTGTGGGTATTACAGTGTCTGTGCATCGCACTCTTGTGCTCCCTCATGAACTGGTCACGGCCACGAGCCCTTGCACAGGTAATGCCAGCCTGGCACGTAGCCATGCTCCCCGATGCGCAAGCCACCAAAACACCTGAAATAAGCGCCGTCCGGGGTCATTTATCCACAGGTGGTTTCCCGCCACGGGATCGCCAGCTAGGCACCATCCCCCGCGACCCCTCCCCGGAGAGGGCAAACATGACATCAGAACATGTACCTTCTTGCACACTTTTCATACATTTCTTGAAGTCTTGGCATTGTGCCCGCATTCCAAAAAAGGCCGCCCCCTTGCAAAACATGGATGAAAATCAACATGTGTACCTTCTTTCACACTTTTCAGGAGATGTTTTTGTTTGCATTGTGCCCGCATTTTAGAATAGTGGGGGGTGTTGGGGGGAGGGGGCAGGAAGGTCAACTGGGTGAGTGGGGCAGCCTCGACTACCTTTGCCGAGGCGGTCTCGCGTTAGCGATAAAAATCAAAGCATGGCAAAACAAAGGACTCTGCAGGCCTCAAAAAGTTCAGGAGCACACGATTGAACTGCAAAATACAGTGAAAAGCCTGGGTCTGCGCTGCCTATTGGCTACCTGCATGAAGAACACTGTGCACACTGCCAGCATACTTGGTAAAGCACCAGACCACATGAGAACGGCACCCATGCAGAACCCACCAGTGGGATTTCCATGTCAAAGGTTTTGTAGCTGGATCAACCCGAACCCTGAACCAGGAGAAGCGTAGTGGTAGATTCTCAAGTCTGGGGGCTGAGGAGCCACAGATGAAGTACCGCACAGAGGGCAATAATCAGGGGATAACAGTGCTTGCACTACCGAAGAGCATGGCCTCGGCCGCAACAAGGCCAGCAGGGCTAAACACTGTGCAGCACCCAGCTGTAAGCAGTTTCGCGACCGAAGGGGAAAACAGACCCAGTACAAAGGACGTCCACGACCACATAATCTTTGGACTTGGGCTCCAGGCAACCACAAATGCACTCAAAGACGTTCAGCGAGGAGGCAGCTCAAGCGAGCAACCACCGTCTTCAACCCCCAAACCAGCAAGCAAAAGTGTTTGAGAAAGAAGGAATGCTGCAGACCCTGCAAAAGGAGTGAAATCCACGGTCCACAGCATTCACGCCAGACGACCGAGCGGAAAACCAGCACGACGCCAAAATCCACAACGAACAAGGCAGAAAAAGCAAGGAGCACTGCAGCACACCCACGACCGCAGCCCGCCGAACAGACAGAAAGGAGAGAGAGAAACAGGAAATAACAGGAACTGCGACAGCCAAGCGCCTGATGCAAGTGGAGCAAATAGGCACTGTCGCTCTATGACGTCGAAACAGGCGGAGGTAAATACCCTACTACCGCCCTCGGGGTCGCCGCACCGCACAAGAAACCTGCCCGAGTAAAAAGAAGACTGCCGCAGGCCCGAGGAATGGGCGCTAACAAATCTTGACCATGAGCAACCGTACTCATTTTTGGCATCATCATTTCCAGCTTTCCACAACTCAACGGAATATCATAAAGGAAGTAAGAAATTTCTGTAATGGTACGTACTGTCTTGATTCTGAGCTGGGATCTTCTTCCCGAGGTTTCCACTGCACGCTTTCTCAAAAACGGCTATTTTGTGCAGGTATTCTTCGTATAAGGAACATGCATTTCCTCAAATTACACTCGTTTGAGGAACAGCATGCAATCTGTACCTTGCAACGTTGCAACTTGCTAGGGTCTTTGCTGGCATGGTGCTTTGAAAGCTTGGTGTTGAGGCGTGCCAGTCAAATGCGTATTGGAGAGATTGTAGAGGAATGCCAAAAACGACGGATGGACTAGCCAGGCTACAGTTTGCAGCAACAGCCGGTGCGTAGTCAACTCAATGCCGGCTTGACAGTCGCTGGTGCGACGGGTGCTGCATCAATGCCACCGCTCAACTCACTGAGATACCTAGCGCAGGCCTACCATCAGCAACCAACCGCTGTGACAGACGTAAGACTGGCCTGCAAAGCAGGAGCTCGGCAAGGACAGCGAGAAGCATGTAGACAAGGGACAGGACACCCATAACTGGCAGCACCAAATGACTGCTTATCCTCTGACGAGCTGCTGGCACCTATGTCTGGCAGGATGTCGGTGAGGATGCTCGGATTTGCGTCTCCAAGCCGTGCCTCCGTGAATTTGGTGGACATGTCAAGTCAGGCTCACTTGTGGAGAAGAACAGCAGGATTACAAGTTCTTTCAAGTGAGGTTGAGGTTCATGCGGAGTCGACGCAATGTTATGCTTCGCAAAACAAAATTTACTGAGACCACTTCAGCGGATAATGGGTCATGGATTTCAAATGGCACTTTGTTGGATGGCCTGTCGCTCTTGTAGGCACGATTGTACGTACCTGCGCTGAGTCTGAGTAAGGCAGCACCCTTCACACAAGATGAGTCCCAGCGTGACCTTGGTTTTTACAAGTGATTCCATCTTGGGTCACGGGCAAGAGCCAAACCAGGAAAGGATCACAAGCACAACGCATACCGTATCTCCTAACCTCGGAAGCATTCGCGGCGCGATCAACAAATCTCTGAAGCGCGTGCATGGCCAAGGCATGCACCATGCAGGAGTGAAAATCAGCCACCATGAAACCTCCTTGCAGTTTCTTTGAAGTCTCATTGTCAAGACTGACAGAGCTGCGCAGTCCTCAAAGCCCATGGAAGCTGAGATGATGAGGAGGCCGTGGAAAAAGAAAAACAACAGCCTGGAATTGGCGAGACGGATCGACACCTCTTTACAACTTCTTTCAGGATGCCTGCCCTTGAGGAGCAAAACCTAGGGAACACTGTGCAAAACGAAAAGGCCTCGCTGCCAGCAGCAAGTGTTCGGTACGTCGGGCAGTTCTTTCCTGCAGGCGAAGTTATCTATGGCAAAGACTATGCCTATGCAAATGCAAGCAATATTATGACCTTTACCTTATTCTCATGCTCTACAGAGCCTGCGCCGAATCAATCAGCAGCTCTTGGGTCCCATCCTCATCGGCTTGTTGTACACTGCAGCAAACTAGAGTCAATGCGACGTCTGCCCATTCTGCCGAGGTCTCCGACGGGCTCATAATCCATAGAGGCCGTGTTTGATTGATTTCACAGAGCGGCGAGAGGCAACCTTCGGGTGACATTTAACAGATCATGCAAGCAGCCACTGTGAGGTTGCAGAGCACTGCTGGAATTGGGGCTGCCCCGTTTACGCTAGTGGAAGCCAAGGCAGACCCTGCACTTGGTTGCCTGAGGACTGTAAATACCTCTTGAAGGACTGGCTGACTTTCAAAAGGGTTCCAGCCGACGTCCTTTGCGGAAACTGTTTCCGATTCCTTTTGGAAAGATCTCGTGCTATGAACTGTGCAGGCTGCCAGGAAGACATCCGAGAGTTCAGCAGGCCTGTCTGCTCGATGGGCAGCCTTCTGCCTCTAAGATGACCACTACTTACCTACATAAGTCCTTGGCGCTTTTCCATCTTTTTCGCACACAGTTCCTGTAATTTCAGGAGTTGTGAAGAGGAAAGATTGCATCCACGAATTGAACATGTGGCTCTTTCCCCCACACTGGTGACGGAGCGCTTGGCATCAGACACATTGCAAGCCTGCTCAGATCTCCAAGATAAGCTGAACGGATGGCTGGCTGACCTTGCAGACTATCCGTCCAAGCCATGAATTCAATGAATCGCCGAGATCGAAAGAACAAAACAGAAATCCTGCGGCGACACCACGAAGTTGAAACCAATCCCAAGCTCCTACAGCAGCCTCAATCCCTAGGCCAACTCCCCAAAGCTGTAAACCGCAACCCCATGTATCCAAAACTCCTGTTGAAGCCCAGACACCCCTACAACCCAGAATTCTCTCCAAGCTCCGGAATGCCAAAACCACGAGTTTCTAAACCTCAAACACTTGAACCACAGGCACCCCCAGTCCCTAAAACTCTAAAGCCGCTTTTGCCCGGGGGTCCAATACAAACTTCAAACGAATCCGGAACCCACGAAACCAGAAGCCCAACACCCTGCAAATACCTGAACACGAAAAATCCCAAAGCCTCAAGAATAAAAAAACTCTGAAAGCCGAATAGAGCCGCAAAGCGAACCAAAGACCCGAAAGTATGAACTATGTACCTGAGACCACTTTCTCAACCCAAACCCACCCGCACTAGAGCCACAAGCTAAAACGCCCAAACCTAAAATCCCCCGAACACTGGACCTAAAATCAATCCAAAGATCCTGAAACTCGGAAAACCTTCAACACCTGAACAATACAGCCACTCCAGACCGTAAACCTGAAATCAAGCCTCATAGCCTACGCCCTGCAATGACAAATAATCACGCCACATCAAAGCCGCTGCCCTGATATCTATTACCGCTAATTTCAAGAACCCGTAAACTGTGACCTGCTAAGGTAGAACCCGCAGAAATCTTAAACGTTAAACCGTAAACCCATCCCGGACCTACAATTCTACCTCTGCCAGCACGGCCAAGAGACATTCCTGCTCGAAGGTACTCATAATCGGGTTGCTACATCGGTCAAGAAACTGACGGCGCCTGCGGCACCCTCATCGGGTTTCTCAACTAGCATCAATACCCTCTCATCGTCGTTGGAACAAATGGCCTGCGACATCTGGTCTATTGTGTCGACCTCGAATGCAGTTGTTATCTGCTTCTTGCCACCCACACTGCAGCTCACGGCATGAATGATATTTCCAACTTGCACATCCAGCTCCCCCACAGACGCAGATCCCCCGCTGATGATCTCAGTGATCACGAAGGCACCTCAACGGAGCAAGTTCACAAGAAAGAATCCAAAACTGCAAACCAAAATTGCTCTGCTTTGAAATGTATAAGTTGAGGTAATTAACAAGGAAAAGGACATGCTTTGCTACTGCATTCGGAGGTACCATCCTGGCGTTCGAACCGAATCCCTAGAGGCAGCTCACCGCCAACCTCCACGGCCTTTGATGCGACACCCAGCCCTGGCTGCCAATCCACGCGTTTGCCCATGAAGAAGGCTTGCATCTTCCCTCCACTACCAGGGATTCCCGGCACGGCCATGCGCTGCAGACTCGTGTGACGGTGCATCTGGGTAAGGCCGACAAAGCCCTGCATGCTGCCACCAATGCTGCCAACGAACCACAAGAGCAGCAGAGCAAGCCAGCAGCGCAAGCTGGTGGATGCACGTGCCCTGGCATTGCAAGCCATGGGCACGGACACAAACTCCGCAGGGGAGTGCGGTTGGCTCGAAGCAGGGTGGCTGCATTCAGCGAAGCGTCAAGCCAGCTTGAAGCAAGATAATGCAAGGTGATGCAAGTTCAGGAAAACGACGTACAAATCTGTAGAATGGTTTCCCGTTTCGCGTTGCAGTTCACGGCTTGGTTCAGAAAGACTCTTCCAACTACACGCCTCATGAGCCCCTTCTGCATAAATCAAGTGCTTGACTGGTACAGCCCAGCTGACAACTGAAAGCTCATGATGTAGCTCGCGGTGTCAGTCAGGCACGCGTGCGAATTGCCGCACGACAGGGCTTTCCATCCATCTTAGCAGGCATTGATGTCCATGATGTCCCATCATACAGGAGTTGGGGGCCTGTGATTACCTGCATGCTGAAATATGATGAAATATGAAACACCTTGTGCATGTCCTGCCTCTCGACTCGCTCAGGTCACAGCACTCCCAGAACGAGCACCTACAGCATGGTTTCCTAGAGCTACTCCTGCAGTCTTGCATAGGAAATGACGTTAGGCATTATCAGTATTGCTGTTGCTCTCAAGCGGCCTTAAGAATGATCCAATAACCGCGCACTGCTCATCACAGCACAGTCTCACTGGGCTTTTGTCAGAGATAATCCCTGGTTTCGAAGCATTAGCATGGGGTGTGCCGGCTTGATGTTGCATCGTGTTCGTGGTCATGAAGCTAAGCTGCATGATAGGATGCCGCCGGCTCCTCTAAGCTGGCCATGAACCCTGTGGAGTTGGGCTGGCATTTGCAGTTCAACTAGTGGGTACCATTCCTGAAAGCTGGCGTCCATGTTACATTTGCTCTGCTGCTGGGTCTGGCTAAAGATCTGCTGGTCTCGGCCCCAGGCCCCCGGCCTAATTGAGCCAGACCGATGTGAGCAGAAGTTTGAATAAAGGAAGTTGTAGAAAGGAGCCTAGCCAAACTGATCTCTACCTCAGTTACAAACAACCAAGAGCACAAAGATTCACAGCTGACCAGCTATGAGCAGCTTTTTCAGCGCAGCGACCTGTCAGCTTCTGACTACGAGAGCTCAGGCAAACTCTTCCCGTTTCATCTTGGCAGCGAAGAAGTGGGGTTCACATGCATGCCCATGCAAGCCCGCGTGCTAGGGCTTCAGCCATCATTTCATCCGTCATTTCGCGCACCCGGATCGTCAAGTGTGTTTGGCGCCTCAAGGGTTCAAGGGCATAAATGAGGGTTGAGCAAATGCTTGCGGTCGCCACAGCCGCTGCAGCTGCTTGCAGCTGCGTCACCGCCGGTAAGGATGGGCCTGACCCTTCGACACAGGCCTCGGCTTAATGACCACATTGATGCAAACGTTGACTCAGCCTCCTCTGCCCCCAAGTCCGCTTCTAAACTGAGGCACCAACTTCATGCGCTTGGAGTATGGCCCGCGGTCGGCTTTGCATGAATGGACGTAGAGACGCGACTTGTCCTG